GTGGGGCACCACGTGACCCCGAGGACCTCCCCTGCGGCTCCCCTCCCTCCCAGCACTTGGTCCTGGTCATCCCCAGGCCTGGGGGCCGAGGCCGGGGCCGACCTTCGTCTCTGTCCCTTGAGCGGGGCGCGGGGTCGGGGGTTGGTTCCCCAGGGGCCAGAGTCGGCAGTGCCGGGCGAGGCAGGGCTGCAGCTGTCCCCCAGCAGGGTGGGAAAGACCTTCAGCCCCATCAGTGTGGGCCAGGCCATGGACATCAACCAGCCCTTGCTCCCGCAACCCCCTCTTCACACCTTAGTGACACTTCCTGCTCCTCCTCTCTCTTTTCCTCCGATTTTAGTTTCCCTTTGCTATACCCTTTGCTTCTATTCCCCCGACCCCAGTATTGTCACACAGCAGCTCAGCCGTGGGGCTGCACCAGAGATGCCCAAAGACACTGTTAGTACCTCAATGCATTTGCAGTCTGGAACCCCTCTTTGCATCGCCTTCGGGTGGTGGTGGTTAGCTGTGGAGCGCTAAGTGATCCAGCCAAGCATGCGACTCCTCACAGAACGGCCAGAGTTTAGAGCAGCGCTTGAGCATTCCCAGGATTAGGGTTTAAGAAACACGATCAAACTGCCTTTCCCTTTAAGAGGGGCTTGTGGGGCTGTGATGGCGCGACATAACAATGGATGACGTACCGCCTTTTGTTTCGTGGGGATTCTGGTGGTGCTTTCTGGTTGCCTTCCCGCTGTTTTCCCGGGTGCTGGAGAAGGGGTGATAATGATTGCCAATTGCACGTAAAATTAGATATCAAAGACGCACATTTTTCCCCTCTCCTAGGCAGCATATTTCTCCCCACACCTTCTGTACTGGACCATCAAGGGCATCTTTTTGAGTGGAAAACATGCCTCCAAAATTCAAGCGCCACCTCAATGATGACGACGTCACTGGTTCAGTGAAAAGTGAAAGGGTAAGTGCCTGGTGGCCTGTGGTAGCCTTGGCTACATTTGTTAGTGCTTTATTCCTTGCCCTCCTTGTATATTTAACAGCTCTGTGTTCACTGGAGCTGTAGGAGTAGGCTTCACCATGTGGCTTTGTTACTGATGACTTGAATAACTTTGAAACAGTGGGGGTCATGTTTAAAGTGCGCTACACATGAATGAAGTCCATTATTTCACCAGTATTTATTTCTTTATATACTGTCTGTCTCAAAAAAAAAAGACTCAGGGCAGCTTACAGTAAAGCCCAAAATAATTTTGTACAAGCAGACCAAATACTGAATAGTAGGTATGTATGTAACAAAGGTCTAAACCCAAAAAATTGAGAGAGGAGGGTGTGGCATGTGATAAGTAGTCCCAACAGTCGGCTTAAGAGAGATGTTCAGTTTGTTAACTGAAAGGCACTTCTTCTAAAAGCCTGTGATGTCTCATAAAATTCTGTCTGGCTCTACTCTGTTGTAACTCCCAGAATGCATCATTTGATGACTTCACAGCTGCTGACAAACTGCTGTTACAAAGGTTTGGTCTGAGATGTGTGTGTGTATTGATTCCCTTTTTGCAAATAATGTGTTCTAAACGGGCACTGAAAGAGGATTTTAAAACAAGAAACTGAAAGTGGTAACATCTCTTGGAAGCATGGTGAGACTTTCTAATTTGGACGGGCATTTAATAAGTAAAGCTAGGCTGGGATATTGGTTAGAGGGTTTCTGTTGATTCTCTGCTTTCCTTCTAAGGTGCTTTATTCTCTTGTTTGTTCTTCTATTTTATAACTTATTCTGTCCTCTTATTGTAAGCCACTCTGAGCCTTTGTTGGGATGGGCACCTGTAAATTGAATACAGTAAATCAGGGTTGTCCAGCTTCCAAGCAGCAGCAGCATAGGCACAGCTTCCAGTTCCTTGGCCCTGGCATAGCTCCTCACTGCTGAGCCCCAGCATTGGCACAAGCACAGACAAAGCCCAGTAGTTGTGCAAACCAGCTTTGGCCCACAGGCTGGATGTTGTCCTGAGTTAGAGCAAAAGGAAAGACACTAACGGCACTAGATCTTTCTCTGAGAATAATTTCCTATAAATGTTCTGAGTGTTGTTGCTCATTCCAAGTTCCAGCCCGGTGTATTCTTGTATATGAAGGACTCGTAGTACTTGTTGCACCATGAGGGAGGTAAAATATTGGCCACAGGTGAAGAATGCACCTTGTGCAATTTGTTGAAACAAACATGTTTGTTTTCCTGTACATCTTGGTCCTCAAAGCTAGAACAGAAATCTGAGGGAAACAGATAGTACACTTTATTTATTTATTTCAAGGCTGTTCATTGCCAAAAGAGCACTTGGCCAGTTTTTGTCTTCAGCCTCAAGACTATTTCATGTTTCCATGGAGTCCTGTTGTAGCTGTAGTGTGATACTGCAGCTATAGTCATAACTGCATGGTTGTAGAATATAAAAATGAATGACATGACATTATTTTTAGATGCGTTGTATACTCCCTTTTAGCTTGGTGGGTATGGCTGGTCTATACAGTTTGATAAAGTGACTTGATTAATTATTTATTTATTTTGTCAGAAGGTCACCAATAAATGCTACACATTTTGGTGGAAAAAAGAGATGTTCTGGCCTTTATTTGTATGAAACAACTGTATGAATAGATTGGTTATATATGTAACAACCTGCCTGAGCTTAGGTGGTTAAGATGCACCAATTCTAGTAGACACTGGTTATAGTGTTATGATTGGCATGATGTCTATACTTTTCCCTCCCTTGGCTGAATGACCAGGTACCCCTTTGACTTCGTCTCTCTGGAGCCATAGTGGAATGCTTTAACCACCTTCTACCCTGTGCCTTTTAACTACATAGACCAGTGGTGTATAATTCTGGATGGGCCAGTGGTTGAGCACCCCCAGGTAGACTGTCACGTGTAGCACTTTTTTCTGAGGAAGCTGGAAAATAGCTTAATAATTGAGTATTGTATCTGATACTTGAATGTGCAGGGCACTGCTACATAGTTGTTCTGCATAACACTAGACAGGTTCAGGGTAGTATACAGCATGATATTCTATTCTGTTTCTCTTGCATATTGCCCCATGTAACCTGTTTGTAATTTGCATGCACACTTTTTTTTTTTTTATATTGGATATTTGCACTATAAATGAATGTTGCACTTACTGTGAGGTGGCAAAACAGAACTATTGGTAGATAGTACAGGCAAATTACTGTAATGTCTCGCCTATAATGGCCTAATAGCACAAACTTAAGCTGAGAGGGATCTGATATATTTCTGTTAATTAAAATGTGTATGATTTTTACATGCTTTGTTCAATTGATCTGATCTTTAAAAACTGACATATTAACAAATAAGTCTGTTTTAGGTACATCTGATTTGTGTATGAGATTTCTCTCAGCTTAAGAGTTTGTGCTATTAGGCCATTATAGGTGAGACACTAGGTCACCACTTACCATTCTGTGATAATGCAGCATACTGTGGTCTTCTATTTGAAACCCCTTGTAGGTGAAACTTGTACTGCCGAAAAGCTGTCTAAACCAGGGATGCTCAGCCTCTGGCATGTAGGCCAAATGTGGCCTGCAGAGCCTTGGAATCTGGCCTGCAGGCTCCCCATGGATTAGGAAATTTGGCAGTGGGGAAGCTGCCAAGTTAATACTGTTACCCCTCTTCACTGCCAAAATCCCAGGCAGTGGGTCAGAGCTGGGCCACAACCCTGTCCCTGCATGGGCGGATCAGGATCAGGCTATACCCCTTTCCCTCCATGTGTCTGGGTTGGGGCCCCCTTTTCCTCCTGCAGGGCTGGACCATGCCCCTGTAGGCTGGACCACACCATCTTCCCCTCCTACCCTTGTGGGGCCAGACCATGTTCCTTTCCCTCCGTCCAGCTAGGCTGGGGCCTGGCCTTGCCTTCTTCATGCAGGGTTGGGCTACACCCCTTCCCCTGCACAGCTAGATTGAGCCAGGCTGGTCCTCCCACCTCCCTCTATGCAGCCATATGGGACCCGTAACACCTACCTGGGTGCTGGATTGGATCTACCAGGCAGAGCTGGCCCTTGGGGATTGGGTACTGCCCATCTGGCCTACCGGCCAAAAAAGTTCAACACCGCTGGTCTAAATAATTCATAAAAAGAGAGGGAGAGAGAGTGTGTGTGTGTGTGTGTGTGTGTGATGTCAATGGGGATTTGCTATCTGTAGGTAAAGCCTCTGTGTTGAACTTGTAAATGTGTGTGCTGAATTAGTTTAAATTACTATTTCAGGCTAAGTGGATTTAAACATAATATATCCAGTCAAATTATGTTTAAACCAAATTTGGTAGCCAAACTGTCGTCTAAAACAATGCTTAGCTCAGCTCGTAAGCAGTGGCTTAGCTGCCAGTGAGTTGATAGGCTCTCTGGTTGCAAGGAACAATGCTGTTGTACCTGCAAGGAGACCATGAAAGCCCACCTCTAGACTAGAGTGCAACTTTTTATATTCTGTTTAAATTGATTCAGCAATAATGAATTAAGTGGTAGTGAAGGTGGATTTCCAGGTGAGGTTATGATAGTTGCAGATGGCAATCCAAAACAGTTTCCAAGGAAAAGGCCATCTGTAATAGGACTGTGTGAAGCTTTGATAACCAATTAGATTTGGAGGAGATTTGGCAGCTGAATCTCTGAATCAGAATCGAATCAGGAGACCAATTAAAACATCTGAATTGAATCAGAAGCCTCCAAATTGATTTGGAAAAGATTCAGCGCTGATTTTGAGATTTGGCCATAGACTGAACAAGCAGCAGTCAGTTCTCAAGGATGCTGAACACGGGTGCCTCCAGCTGGTAAGCCTGTTGTGGTGGGCATGGAGAGGGGCAGGGCAGATCAATGCCCCCACAGTGAGGCAAGGATTGGGGTTGGGACTGGGACAAGCTGCCTGGGGGGGAGGGGCGGGGCATGCTGGACTTGGGGACGGGGCTCCTGCCAATGCGCACTACCATGCACCACAGGTTCAGGAGGGCATGGGAGCGGGTGTGTGCCCCTGGATCTGCACAAGGTGGACTGGGCCGGTCTGCACTCCGGTAGGCTAGCCCCAGCCGCCTGCTGTTGGGCTGTGCTCTGTGGGGCAGGTGGAGCCAGGATGGTGCTCTGTCTGCCCCCCAGAGCCCAGTGGAGTGTGGGCTATTGGGGGGGGCTGCAGTCACCCTAAAATTCCCCATAGCCCCTACCACCAGCCCTGCTCCGATCTGTGCGGGCCGGGAGCGATCCGGGGCCCTTTTTTTGCGCCGCAGGCTGTGGCCAGCAGCCCGGACACGCTGAGTCGGAGAAAGAAGGTGACACGCTAGAATTAGGCACAGACGCTTAGTGGTTGATTCAAGATTGTTTACTTACACCGTAGATGGTCGCGGTGTAGGCTGGAAAGCTTCCCAGGTAAAGCTCCGCTTAAATCCCCGTTTGAGAACTCGGACAAAACTCTCACTCTCATGGAGTTGTCAAGGCTCTGTGGATCCTTGTTTGCGCGCAGGGAAGAGGGATACGTCGAGGATTGAGCTCGGCGACGGGGAGAGGCGAGAGGCTGATCAGACCCCTGTTGCCTTCTTGATATTCACGCTGGGTCCAATAGGCTCCGCAGCGCTTAGAGATCTTCACGAGACGTGAAGTCTCCTCCTCCTGATGTTCGTGGAGTCCTCCAACTTGGGCGGAAACCACTCAAGCCTCTTATACGGCCAGCAAGCCAATCGCTAGCCGCCACGTGGGAATAATTTAGAAACGACCAATAGTGGGGCACGAATTTAAATACAAATGGCGGGAACTCCTTGCAATGGGCATTTCTGTGCTGCAAAGAAGAAATGCACCCTGCAAAGAAAGCTTCAAACGGCGGGAAAATAATTCAGTGGTGCCAAAGCACACCCAAAAACAAAATCACACCTTTGGGTTGTGACATGATCCAGGTGCATGCCCCCGCCTCCATGCCCTGCCGCTGCTTGCCCAGCCAGGGCGAAGCTACTGCTTGTCCGGGAGGTGCAGGGAGGCTGGGTGAGCAGTGGGAGGGCACCCGCTCCCAGTGCCTTTCTCCACCCATTCGGAGCACAGCCCGTCTCAGCCTGCCCCACGCAGATACGGGGGCACACACCTGCTTCCATGCCTTCCTGGACCAGCAGCGTGTGACGGCGCACAGTGGTGGGAGCCCCCCTCCCCGAGGCCCAATCCCTCCCTTGCTGTGGGGGTGTTGATCTGCGCCACCCCTCCCCCCCCACATTCCTTCCCTCCCCACTCCACCCACTACAACAGACTTGCCAGCTAGAGGCAGGCGTGGCCCGAGTCCCTGGGCAGCGTCCTCGAGGACTGCTGCCTGTTTAGTCTATGGCCGAATCTTTGGATCTGAATTGGCCGAATCAAATCGGGACAGTGATTCGAATCACTGAATTGGATCGCTGTCCCTCTGAGTTGCCCAGGTCCAAATCCGAATCGAATACTTGCTGCTTCGCACAGGCCTAATATCTAAGCATCGTGAGAATGGGGTTGGATTTGTTGGTTCTGGGGCTCCTAAACTATTCACCTTTCCCTTCTTGACCTTTTTTAAACCCCCCGAAAAAGGATTGTGGTGGACATGAGCAGTTGGACTATCTGTTACGGAGATAAAACATGAAAACAGACGCACAAAAAGATACATATGTGTTTTTATTATTTATGTAACATAACTTACCCAACTTCATGTAAAGCTGCTTTAAATACAAGATAGTCATGAAAAATTAGTCCAAGTGACCAATCTACTCAATCTGGTGGGCATGATAAAATCTCGTAACAATTTACTTGTCTCAAACTTTCTTTTACAGAACAGATTTTTGTAAGATTGAATTGGACTCAATCTTAGAATCATTCACTCATGTAACAGAGTTAACAAAAGCTGAGGTGAAAATGTCTTAATAAAGAGAGCGTATTGGGATAATTGTATAACGATCGAGAGTAGCAGTTATAAAAGTTCCCCTAATAACAGCAGCAATGTACCCCCTAAGGCTTATATTCACTACACAACAGGTGGAAATCCTTGATGCTAAATTCAGTTCCACTTTACTTTGAGCATCTTTGGAGCAGTCACAGTAGGGGATATGGTAGGAAATAGTTATGCAATGCAAAGCAAACTGGGTATAAGATCATATCATCTTTATCCTAATTTGAAAATTGGAAAGGTGCACCCCTTCTGTTTTCAACTAACCTGACTCACTCTACAGATGTGGGGTGAATCTATTACATTTAATCTTCATTCACCATCCTTTATATCATCAGGTGACAGAAAAACTGCATTGTCTTCTGAGAAAGTAATAATGTGTTCTTCCATGTAGAGAAGGTAAACCTAATTACAAGAGATGTTTTCTGTGAGGAACTTTGGTGTTGGCTGACTGTGATACTTTACGAATGGAGCCTTAGAATTGACTTGGATTGAATCTCTATGTCAGCATTTTCATAGTGGTGTGTGCATGCGCGTGTGCATGTGTGAGTGTGTATAATGAGTCTTACTGGGCATTGTGCAGTATGTTTATAGACCACCTGGTTTCTGCGTTGCAAGATATCAGAAAGATGTTCTCAAAGTGAATGAGAGAACTGAAGTTGATGCAAACCTTCCCTGGAATTGATAGAAACTTGCTGTAAATTGGTTTCATTTTCACTGTTACAAGTAGCAACAAGAACTGACTCAGTGGCTTAGTTGCAATGCCTGATATTGCTGTGCATTTTGTAGAACTAGCACATGTTTTCCTTACTTTTTAAGGGTACAGAAACATTCAGCTCAGCTCCTAGAAAGTGGGACTAGAAATAATACCCCTTCCGGTCATTTAAAAAAAAAATCTCCAAAAGGAATTATACAGAGTCCCTGGTCAGAAGGATGGAGATTATATTGCAGGGTCTTGACGTGTGCATACAGTACTCTGGCTGCTTATTGACTGAAGTTGTTTGCTTTTCTGTCTTCACAGAGAAACCTTTTAGAAGAAGATTCTGATGAAGAGGAGGACTTCTTCTTGTGAGTATCTGTAAGGTCCATGTGTGGGTACTATAGTTAGCGTGGGAGTGTACTGCTAATTGTCCTGGTCAGAACAGAACTGGGAAAACTGAAAAGATAAGGCAACACAAACTTACTAATAGTGGGGAATTGATTGGGGATTTAACTTTGCCATCTGTTTTAGATTTGCTTGAAATCATTGATATAGCACAATTTACATCAGGGAAGGTGTTAGCAACAAATATAAATTAAGGTTAAGCTAACATTAGCTGCTTAAGATTAGGCCTCCATATGTTAAAGGTGGAAGAATCCTACTAGTAGTTTCAGGGCCAACACCTTGCTGATACAGGACCACTTTTTGTCATGTTTACTATGTCTTGTCTGATTTTTAAGTGACAACTTTGAACTCTGTGGAAGGCCTAACCATTTGGCACTCAGATATTTCTGTGCATTTTTGTCCATTATTACTGTCTCTTGTTCCTGCAGGAGAGGACCTTCTGGACCAAAATTTGGACCTAGGAATGACAAAATCAGGCAGTAAGTTCTCCAGAGGTTCTGATTTATAGTGCAGATGTCAGTTTGTTTATGCATTACTTTAATGTTTTGCTACATTCTTGCTGACACGCTTCTGATTAGCTCTAAATATGAACATCATTCACTCTTAATCTTTTGTGACCAGTATTTCTTACTCCATCTCTCTTCAAGCAGGTGAAGTTTCACCTTCTGAGTTATCAAAGAGTTAATCGTGCATTAGTAGGCTTTAACAAATTGGTGTGCCATCTAAAGGACTATTGAAAGCTGCTGCTATGTTATATTACATCTACAGTATTTCATAGACAGATTTCATATACGTTAGGGCTGGAAAGGACCTTGGAAAATCATTGGGTTCAGCCCCCTGCCCTGGGGGCAGGATGTCAGCTAGGGTCAAAGGATCCTAGCAAGATAGGCATCCAAATGTTTCTTGAAAATGTCCAGAGTAGGTGCTTGCACCACCTCTGGAGGGGGTCTATTCCAGGCTCTGGGAACACAGATGGTAAAGAAGTTTTTCCTTATGTCCAGCCTAAAACAGTCTTCCAGGAGTTTGTGACTGTTAGATCTTGTCTTCCCTTGGGGAATGCCTGTTCACCAGAGCACCCCCAGTTCCTGGTGCACACCCCTTATATACTTATAGGCTGCCACTAAGTCATCCCTGAGCCTATGCTTCTCTAGGCTGAAGAGTCCCATGGCTCTCAGCCTCTCTCTTCATAAGGCCTCTTCATTTACTATTCCATTACAAAATTTGATATGAGCGTTAATAGTAACATCGTAAAATTGAGACCCTGTTGTGCCTGTATGCCATATTTATCGTCATCTTCCTCTTTCTTGTCCTGGTTTTTACCTCATCCTTTCCCCTCCCTGCTTTGGTGTTTCAAATAACCTTATATTGTAGATTTCTCTTTGCACCTGGTGGTCCCCTGGACTTTAGTTCATCATATGGGGAATAGATCTCTGTGACCTTCTGGAGGCAAGGAATGACTTACTAAGCTCAAGCAGCTGAACAAACAGGAAACAATTAGAGTTGAGATTATAACCATTAGTTAGAAAGAACGAAGGGAAGGAGACTAGCAGCACTAGATCTTTCTCTGAGAATAATCTCCTGTGAATGTTTTGGGTGTTGCTGCTTGCTCCAAGTTCCAGCTTGGTCTGTTCCAGCATATGAAGGACTCATAGTACTTGTTGCACCATGAGGGAGAGGAAAGGTTGGTCACAGGTGAAGAATACATCTTATCCTGTTTATTGAAACATTTGTTTTCCTGTACATCGCTCTTGAGAGCTAGAATAGAAATTTGAGGGGAACTTAGGTGACACTGCATATAACAAATCATTTAGCTTGTGGCTTCAGTCTCAGTTCTTTTTTGTAGGTGAGAGAAAGCCAGTGCCTGTCAGATCTTTCAGTAGTCATCCCAGTATGGTTGAAAGCACAGACCCTCCAGTCAAACTCCATCCATAAGTTTTTGAGGTGATGAGGTTCAACCCATGAGCTGTAAAAACAAACACTGAGGGAATCTCCTTTGAGCATTTGTAATTCCTTTCTTCCGCAAGCTCTTAGAAATCAGCAGAAAGGTGAGAGTGCATTCTGCTGTGCTAACCACTTCAGACTAGCCAGTTAGCATTGAAGAAATAAAGAGGCTTGGCCTGTTTCAGTGTCTTGCTTTCTGTTATTATCATCTGAACAGCCATGTATTTTTAACATGGATGGAAGAAAATTTAAATCATTGCAACAAGCTAAATTTACAAAGTGCAGTAACTGACATGTTATCACTTTGTCTAATGCAGTTCCTTATTCTTAAATTTAAGAAAATGACTTGTTCTTTTTCATGAGAAAAGCCCTCACCTATGGAGAGGGTTAACACTTGTTTCTCTGCCGGACATAATTGGATAGAGAAAAAGAGTGGTAGAAGAGTATTTAGAAAGTTGTCAGCAGCTTTGAATATGATGGCAAAGTGTATGGGAGGTATTAGTGAAGGTTCAGTGAGAGTTGTATCATCAGAGTTGTCAGAATGGAGACTTTAGGTGCAGCATATATGTTCAAGGCTTCCCTCCAGTTGTGAGTGGTGGGGGCATTCATTTTTTTTGTGTAGATACCTCTTAACTAGAAGTGCCCAGGGTACATGAGATGCTTAATCTGGGTGGAATTTAAAGACGTGCCATAGGATTTACAGGCAAAAGTCTCATAGAAAGTCAATGAAACACATGAGCCTAAATCCTTTTCCATGGTTTTGAAAGTCTCCAATCTGCTGCATTTATTTTCATTGCAATTATAAATATTGTATTGTAAATGAGATTGTTTCACCTTTCAAAATACCTCAGTAAGATTAATTCTTACAGTGGGACAAAAGGTTATATTTATTCGTTTTCTTTGATTCAAGTAAAATAGCATGGGTATTTGGGAGATATTTATATACGCTAAGCCCCTTTTAGGCAGTTTTCTGTTTCTCCCTAAAGGCTTTCAACATAAACTGAGTGCAGGTTAACAGAAGATCCTCTCCTTAAATATGCTAATAAGTGAGGCCTGGTCGATTCTTCAGCACTGGAGTTTGTTGCTGCATCAATTCATTGCTACTGAATTATGTTCTAGATTCTCAGCTTTTGTGTTAACACTGTTGGTTCTAACCTTCATGTTTATGAAACCATCCTAAATAATATGATCTGACTTTAAGTCAGAGCAGTGCTGATTTCATGAATCTGCAGAGAGCCTGAAACAATTACTCTTAGGCTGCATCTGTACAAAGAATATTAGCACACTCATCATGGTAATAAAATACCTTCAACATTTAGTCACTAGTGTACACAAAACTCAAACACTTATCAGTGCCTGATAAAAACTTTGCTCACAGCCAGTTTCTGTTAAAATACCTTAGTCTTTCCTCTTAGTGCTCTGCAACTGCACCATTGCTGTAGTGTGGTTATTAAACTTTGTAGGGTTGTCAGGCCTAGAAGAGATTCAGATATCTTCCTTTGTTGCAGTAGCACTGATGCAGAAACCTAAGAATGACAACTCAAAGATCATTGTTAATTGTTTTGCTGCTTATCATTTTAGTGAGAAGTAACCATCAAATGTACTTCTCTTACAACCCTGATAAGCAACTGCATCGCCCTTGGATGTTTGGAAGATTCCAAGTACCTCTCATCTCATTTGTACAAACCTCTAGATTCCTGTCACCACAGCAATTTTTGCAATGTGGTTCTTTGTTTAAAAAAGGCCAAAGGTCCTCCCAAACCTTGTGGATCATATGGTTACCATGGTTAAGGCACACCAGTTTCTGCAGCAGATCTCACACACAGAAATGTGAGAAGTGTCATGTCTGGTTGCCTTTGACTTTCTAGTCTGGATGACCAGGTGCCTGTCTGCATTTGGGTTCACAGGGGTAGCTGTCAGCACAAGTCCACAGCAAGATTTGAATTCATGCTTCCAGATCCATAGCAAGGCACCTTGAAGTACCCTGCCACAGCACCCCACAAAGTATATGGGACCTCATTAATGTCCATGCATATACCATTTGATAAAGAGTGGGAGAAGTGCATCTCATGCTGCCTGCTAAAAATTTTGGACTATTCCAACATCTGGTGGCTTGTATAACAGGTCACATGGGAAGAGGCCAGTGTTCTCGCCCATTGTTTCTGCCTTTTGAAGAATAGGCTGTTGTTCTTAGTCTGGTAGTATGACTTGTCTGTTACTTTTGTCAAATAATAATCCTACGAAGGGAAGGCAAGTTCCTTTGCTTCAGAACCAGCCAGGACATTAAAGCAGATATTAAATCATACCAAGATTCCAGTGACCTCATTATTGCTGTCCTGATTAAAACCAGCATGTTTACAGTCATTAATGTAACCTGGAGCCACAAGAGATGTGTCTTATGTTTTTGTTTTACTCCATTTCCTGGTTGGACATTCAGTTTTTTCCTACTTGGAAACCTGGCAGGGTACAGACCCATGAGTAAAATATTTAAGAAGCCAATAGCTTGCTACTAGTAAATACATTTCTTCCTAGAATCTGTTCCCTGGCCAAGTAAAACCAAAAAAAAATTAATATTGCTTGAATTTCCAACATCAAGCACATAGAACTAGTTGCAAATAATGAATTTGTTCAGAAATTGCCTAGTTAGACCTTTGACTCATGCTGGAACCCATCTCCCAG